GAGAGAGAGCGAGAACGCGAGAGAAAAAGAGAAGGAGAGAGCGCGCAGGAGAGAAATGCATTCATAGAGAGAGAAGAAGAGCATGTGAATGAGACAGAGTGACGAGAGAGACAGAGAAAGAGAGAGAGAGAGAAAGAGACAGAGAGACAGAGAGACAGAGAGAGAGAGAGAGAGTGATAGAAAAAGAGAGAGCGAGCGCGCGCGCGCGAAAGAGAAAGTGATAGAAAAAGAGAGAGACGGAGAGACAGACAGACAGACAGACACACACATACACACACACACAGAGAGAACGCATCAAGGGTTGAGCGCCACCGCTGCACTGATACCGCGGCCCATACCCCGCCGATTATTCCGTGAGATATTTGTTGATACGCGTAAGTGGACGTATCGGCCGGCATGCGACTGACGGAGATGTTTCTAAATATTTGGCTTCCATTCCATCGACTCTGTTAGTGCTATATAAAAGTGCGCGCGCTCTCGCTGCTGCTGTTCCTTTCAGTCTCTCGCAGGGGGAGGGGGATGGGGAGGGGGAGGGGGCTTTTTACTGAATCGCGAAGCCATCATGCGATAGACAAACACCTCGCGTGCTTGCCAGGTGAGTCACGCGTACGGGTGGGTGGGGTGGAGTGGGGAAGCAGAGGCATGCACTGCGGGCCAGGCACGCCAGATTCCCTCCTTCTCCTCCCTCTCCCCCGTTATACCTCCCACCACCCACCCACCACCCTCAGCAGCTGCTGACAACACACGGCCTGCTTCGCCCGCCGGCTAACAGGGGGCCGTGAGTATAGTCGCCGTGAGAACCTCCGTACGCACATATATATATATATATATATATATATATATATANGAGAGAGAGAGAGAGAGAGAGATAGAGAGAGAGAAGGCTGTGGTACCTGTAACTAGCGGCATACACGCGCACGCGCACGCACGCGTACGCACACGCGCATTCGCGTCTTCATGCGAGATTTCGCATATTGTCACGATGATTAAGAACTTTCACATGTCAATAACTGCACGCTTGCATGCATGCACGCATACACGCATGCGCGCATACACGCGTTCCGCAATGGAAACCAGAATACTAGACTGACGTCACATTCAGGGGCTAGCGTGGAACCAAGACGAACAGAGGCGAGAAATTCGAAGACAGAGAGAGAAAGACAGACAGAGAAAGAAAGAGAAAGCGAGAGTGGCAAAACACGATGACGTCACCACCGACAAGCAATGACGTAATCGCCCGCCTCCCAGCGCCATATTGAGCAGACGATGACAGCAGCGGCAGCGGCGGCAGCACGTACCTTCTTCTTTCGCAAGCCTTCTCGACGGAGAAGAATGTTGCAGACGATCGGCATAGCGAAGTAGCTCTTCACCGTCTAGAGAGCCAAACAAATAGAGGGCGCTGATTAGTGAAGCGATTAGCAACTAGGTGGCGCTCAGCTGGAAACAGCAGTTAGTAAAAGCCGGTTAGAGGTTATGTTTCAGCATTCGTAGCGTAGCATTTATACATATTATCAGGAGTGAATAATAATAGAATTATATATATATATATAATATATATATATATATGTAATTCTATATATACTATTATTTCACTCTTGATATTATGTATATATATATATATGTATATATATATAATATATTATATATTATATATATATATATATTATATATATTATATATATATATATAATAGGACAGTATCTATAAAGCGTTTCTATGCCCGCGACACGGTGCGCATTGGTTTTTGGCGAGCTGGGGTACACACGGCACGCACGCACGCGCACTGCACGCAGCCCGCACGCACGCACGCACGCACACGCATCTGGTACAGGCGAGATGGATGATGGTGGACAAGCTAGAAGTAGATGGTCGCCTGGCTCGGTTACTGTCACACGTGTATGTAGTAATCACACATTGCCAGGCAGCAACCACGCAGCGAACCGCTGCGGGCACCATTAGGTGCGCCAAGTATGCGCGAGAAAAGAAGAGAAGGGAGAAGAGAGGAGAGGGGAGGGCAAAAGGAAGAGGAGAGGGAGAGGGTGTGAGGCAAGACTGGAGAGGAGAGGAGGAGAGACCGATGGACGAGAAGAGAGAGAGACGGGGGGGCTGGGAATAGAGAGCGAGGAGAGAGAGAGACGAGAGGAGTGGAGAGAGAGAGAGAGAAAGAGAGTTTGTCATACTGTGGAACATTTTACCCGCTCCTGTCGCTGTTACTAGCCGGCGCGTGGGTGCTTTTTGAGGACCAGGCACACACTCTCGCTCTGCTTCTTCGTTACTCTCTCTTCTCTCTTTTCTCCTCTCTCTCTCTCTCTCCTCTCTCTCTTCTCTCTTTCTCTCTCCTCTCTCATCTCTTCTCTCTGACTCCGACTCTCGCTCTCTCTCTCTCCTGCCGCTCTCTCTCTCTCTCTTCTCTCTCTCTCTCTCACTCTCTTCTGCTCTCTCTCTCCGCTTCTCTTTCTCTTCCCCCTCCTTCTCCTTCTCTCTGCTCTCTCTCTCTCTCTCTCTCTTCTCTTTCTCCCTCTCGCCGTCTCTCTGTTTCTCTCCTCCCTCGCTCTCTCTTTCTGGCCCACTCTCTCTCTCACTCTCTTCTTTTCCTTCCCGCTCTCTCTTCTCTCGTCTCCTCTCTCTCTCTCTCTCTCTCTCTCTCTCGTTCTCTCTCTCTCTCTCTCTTCTCCCTCCCTTTCTCCCTCCTCTCTCTCTCTCGCAGACCCGTGCCCGTGTGCGGCGCGCCCTGTGCGAGGAGGAGGCGGGGGAGCGGGGGAAGGTCAGTGTCGCGCCTGGGCGCCGGCGCCGGGACGCCGCAGGGAGGAGTCTCTCCGCATCTCCGCGCCTCTCTCTCTCTCTCCCCCCGCTTCGTACATGTGCTCCCTCCCTCCCCACTATCGCTGGATCCGTGGCCAATAATAGTTCTAGTACTACTACTATACTATACTATTATACTCTACTACTACTACTACTACTACTACTACTACTACTACTACTACTACTACTACTCTACTACTACTGCTGCTGCTGCTGCTGCTACTACCACTAATAGTACTACCACTACGGATATGTTACTGTGTTGTTTTTTCGTCGCTCGGTGGCGGGTCCCGGGCTCCCGTCATTGTTTACACATACAGCAGCGACGACGTTGCGTTTTTTAGCGCTAGCCGAATGTCGTGTGTTATTCGTAGGCGATGATGACGTTGATGAACGATGATGACGATGACGAGACGATGACGATGATGATGATTGATGACGACGACGACGACGACGATGATGATGATAATATGATGATGAAGACGACGATGACGATGATAATGATGATGACGGCGACGACGACAAAGTGTAGCAATGACGGCGGGAGCAATAACGGGGCACTCACACACCATCAACGCGCACACGCACACAAATGCACGCATGCACGCACACGCGCTCTGATACCCATGCATGCACGCCCCTCACACGCACACCCGCACACACAAACGCACGCAATATTCCAGTTCGAAACCCGACGCCGCCATTCTCGCTGTTATAAACATCATCGTCAAAAACGTCGCGCGGCGCGCGGCGTGACGTCACCGCGTGGCCGCACGCAGCCGACGACGCGTTGTTTACTCGCGCGGGCGCGTCAGCTCGGCGCGTGGCGTGGCGTCGCGCACGGCGGTTCCCCCTACGATGTCGTTGGCTTGGCGTGGCACGACACCACACACACATATATAATATATATATATGGTATATATATCTATATATACGTATATACAAGCTACAGACACCGCGCGAGCTGGCTGCCATAGACATAAATATAATATTATATATACTATATATATATATATACGTATATACAAGCTACAGACACCGCGCGCGCCAAGCTAGCTATAGCTACCCTCATGGCGGACGACGCGGCCCGCACACGAACATGTGCGTGTTTGCTGGATGAACGTCGATTTTCTTAGTGGTTATGCACCCGTTAAACGGTCTCAGAGAGAGCGCGAAGACGGAGAGGAAAAGAGAGAGGGGAAGTAGAAACGGAAGATGCAAAGACAGAATGAGAGTGGGAAAGAGCGAGCAAGAAAGCAGGGGAAGGGGAACATAGAAGGATGGGAGAGAGAAAGAGAGACAGAGAGAGAGAAGGAGAGAAAAAGAAAGGAGAGGAGAGAGAGAGAAAAGGGCGAGCGAGGCAAGCAGAGAGGCACACACACACACAACACACACACACACACACACACACACGACAACACACACACACACACACACACAACACACACACAAGCACGACACAAACACAAACACAAACACAAACACAAACACCACAGCACCAACGCACGGCACCGCCACGCACGCACGACGCACGCACACACACACACACACACACACACACACACACACACACACACACACACACACACGCCACCGTACCGAGCAGGGGACACACGCAGCGTTCAGAATCTGCTGACCATCTAAGATAAACATCTCCTCTCGTGGATCACGACGTGGTCAGTGGTCAGCCGATAGCCACAGCCGCCGCAGCAGCGGCCACGCTCGCCTCATTACAAGATGGACGAGAGATGAAAGGCGGCGAAAATTAGTCCGATTCGCAGGCCATTTCACGCTGGCTACATCTGACCAATTGACTTTCACAATCTGACAATCTGAGCGCTTCACTCATACACGCCTGCTTTGTTACTTGGTCAACCCGTTTCTAATTTGGTTAGCTTGCTAGTCGGTTCGTTAGTTAGTTAATTAGTTTAATGGAATTAATCGGTTGGTTAGGCTGGCGAAATGTAAATAAATAATATAAATAATAAATAAATAAATATATAAATAAATAAATAAATAAATGAATAAATAAATAACTATATATATATATATATATCAAGAACTAATAATAGGTATTTATTAGCTCTTGGTATTATATATATATATATATATATATATATATGTATCGAAGGTGTTTTCACGACTGTTTATCTCATATACATTATATATATATATATGTATATATATATATATATATA